CCCTACCTGCATGTACAGCTGTTTCCCTGCTTGTCAGAAGTTCTAAATGGTTCATATTGGTTTTAATTGACTCTCAAAACGAAATACCAGTAAATGAGGGCAAATTGAGTTTCTAATAGAGGATGCTGAAACAAATCCGGTGAATAAATGTTTCATGAGAAATTCAACTACTCTTTGCCCTATCCAAATCTGTGTCTGGAATGGGTAACTAAGAACTCTTTTCCACTTCTGTTGGAGTCCTTCACGTGCCGTCTCCCCCGCCCTCTGCCTTTTAGACCCAATGCACTATCCGGAGTAGAGCGTAGCTTTATCTTGCGCCTGATCAAGAAATATGACGCGGTTATCTCTTACAGAATAAAAGCCCCCAGCCTAAGGGAAATGACGACAATAATTTTCCTGAGCTGGGCTCACTTCAGGAGGAAGAGGAAGCATCTGATGCTGAGAAGCGAGAAAAGGAGATTTTGATTGAACGCATCCAATCAATTAAGGAGGAAAAGTGAGTCCCAGTTTTCCATTCCTGATTAAATCCGTTTAGCTCTGCAGCTTGTTCCTTGTGCCTTAAGAGGTAGCATAACACGCTGCTTTAATGTTGTAGGGCAATATCAAAATGACTTAATTATTTAGTCAAGTCTTTAGGAAGTTGGAAAGAGAAAGTAAGAGGTTAACAGGTAAAGACAAATACTTTGAAATATAGGTTGTTAAGGTGGAGATTTAGTTGTTCATGTCAGTGGGTTTGGTACATATTGAAAGTCTTTGCCCTTCTGGAGTGCTACAGTGTGCATGTTTGCAGGGAAGACATAACTTACCGATTACCTGAGCTTGACCAGCGATGCTCTGATGAGGAAAACGTGGACTCAGAGACCTCGGCAAGCACGGAAAGCCTGCTGGGCGACCGAGCAGGGAGGCTGGATGCCGAAGGTCAGTATTAAGGTAGTACGTGCTTTCTTATCTTCTACATCCCCTTACCCCTGTCCTGCAGCCTGACATCTGCTTAAAACTGATAGTCTCCATTTGTGTGTTAAAACCGTGCGTCTTACCATCAAAGTGTCTTGTCCTTTCTCTGAAGGAGCTGCTCCGTCTGGATTCCAGAGCCGTGACCAGAGCCTCGGCGTGCTCAACAGAGACTCTAGCAGAGCGCCTGGTGTTTCTCTTCCATTGGCCTCCGCACACTCCTCTCCTGCCTCCTTGGCTACAAGACACAGATCATCTTCGATGCTGCTCAGCATGAAACTACCACGCCGAAATCCAGTGATGCCAACAGCAAATATAAGACTTCCTCCTGGGATCCTCAAGCTGACAGAATCCCAGGGCAGGACTTCAGTTACGGATGTGTCTCGACTCATGGTGAGACGGAGGGAGCGGCCAGCAAGGCGACCTGATAAGATCCACTCCGTGTACATTGCACAAGGGTCGGCTGTGGCCCAGGCTCAGGAATCTGTGGATGAATATGAACCAACAGCAAAAGTGAAGCGGCGGTTTTCAGACCCTTACTCGCATGTGCCACCTATGCCCGAGTGAAATATTTCAGACGCCCGATCCTTATGTTGAAGGTTGACTGCAGCTCCGGCGCCATCCCTCGAGGGCCGTGAAGGTGCGCACGTGTCCTTGTGGTTGGGGAGCTGCCGGCCGGGCCCTTCGCAGCAGGCCCAGGTCGAGCGGAGCTGTTCATAGCAAACGATATTCTGCTCTTTGTAAGACATCTAAATTAAAAGGAACTGCAAAAGAAGTAGGATCTTAAATCTGCTTTAAGTAAAGTGCATGGAACTGAGCCTGTCGGAGGAAAGTGTGGCCCTGTGGGCCCTGGTAGGACCAGAGGGGAGCGGGGGAACCTGGGGCCTTGCTCTGCGCCGGTTATGTTTCTACGACAGCTTCCTTGGCGGTTTGCGGACTTTCTGATGTTGTAATGGCCTTCACTGAGGCCAGAAGTATATCGACTTGTTGATGAATACATTGCACTTTTTAAACCCGGTCATGTGCGGTCGTGCTCACTCATGCTGCTGTGCCAGTGCCGGCCTTTTCCCCGGGGAACGCTTGGTGCCGAGTGCAAGCGGGTCCCCGTCGCTCTGCCCCTCCCGCCACGTGCAGGCAGGGGCTGGGGCGGGGGGTTTCCACGGGGCAGGGGCTCGGACCCCTCCGCCTGCCCGCATGGCAGGCCGTTGTGTGGAGACAGGGGTCTGGGCCTGGGGCGGGGCACTGGGCCGGGGTCCCCGCAGGCCCCACCCCACAGCGGAAAGATGGCAGCTCGCCAGTGACATGCGGCTGGGTCCAGCGCAGCCGGGGCCCGCGGCCAGCGCAGCCGGGCCCCGCGGCGATGGCAGGACACATCTGGAGCTGAACCTGGTGCGGCTGCCGAGCCGCTGCGAAGCGCTGGTGGCTGAGCGCTGCCACCCGGGCGAGTGGGGGCTGGGCCGGGGCCAGGAGCGGTGCACCCCGCTGGTGGGCACCACGCATATGAGGGGTTTGGGTGGGGGCTGAAGCTGTCGCTTCGGCTCCGGGCTGCTCCCGCCCTTGTCGCGTAGGCATGAGAGCGCCCAGGCCGCGGTGGCTGCCCGTTCCCTGCCCCAGACCCAGGGTCGCGTCGTGGGGCCTCGCTCTCTTGGGCCAGCTGTGTTGCTCGGCTGCCCGTGCCACCGGGCACATCCCGCCCGCTCCCTGGCCCCTGGATGCACATCTCCACTGGACAGCCGAGCTGGGAATCCGGTGACCGGCCGCATCCACCTCCCAGGAGGTGCTGCCCAAGGTGCCCAGCCCTGACCACTGCCCCCTCGCACCCCGTTGCCTCTCCCAGAAGGACTTGTCATAGCAGCAGACTTTCTGCCCGTAGCTCTGACAATCGGGCAGCCGGGTGACAGCCACCCAGTCCAGCCTGCTGTAGACCACAGGGCCCTCGTCGGTCTGAAAATGATGTTGTCTGAAACGTGCGCCTGCTCCTGTTACTACT